CGTTCATGCCAGACTGGGGAGAGAGGTGTTGTAATAATGTAAAATATGTGAAAAAGAATGTGTTTTTCGAACAACCTAGTATGAGAGCCTGTTCTAGTACACCCCCAAAACAAAATCAAGACTTTGTAAAAGAGCATAATAGGACCCCTTTAAGAGATTATGTAATTTATTGGATTTTAAGAGATTATGTAATTGATTGGATTTTAATGAAAAATGTATTCTTGCTGTGAAATAATATGGATCCGTAAGTCATTTATATAGAGTCCAGTGTCACGGAAGCAAGTATAGGGAGAGTTTTGATTTCATGTTGACTTTAGCTTACCATTTCCTGTTGTTTTATGGTGTGATGCATTTTACGATTATGTATACTCTTTTCTGTTACAAAGACTTTTCTAACAATGTAAAATATTTAAAGTGGACCCAAAAAATTATTTGGACACCTAAGTAATGCATACAAATATCTAAATTTCATTAGATATAAAACGTCAAACAATTGTCATTTACTGAAAAGAAATTTCACGAGTTTGCACTAACATATAATGTGATTGAGCAATTAGTAGCATATTTGGCGTGCTGTCCAGAGGGAGGGCTCCGAGCTCGGGTTAAAGTCCGAACCCAGAGAACCCCCCCGAAGAATGGGATGAAATTAGATTAGTAGTGATGAGGTGTTGGGGTGGAGGCGGGATGCTGGTAGCTGACAAGCTCCACCTGGGCCAGACTGATTGATTATCCGATCGTGCTCCTCCCGAACCTTGTTAATAAAACATCATATAGTGTAAGCACACGTTACAAGCAAACATTTTACAAACATTTGTTTTAGGCTTTAAAGAAATAGTTCACCTAGAAAAGAAGATTTGCTGAAAAATGTACTCACCCTCAGGTCAACCAATATGTGGATGAGTTTTGTTTCTTCATCGAAGAAATGTAGCATTACATCACTTGCTCAGCAATGGATCCTCTGCAGTGAATGGGTGCTGTCAGAATGAGAGTCCAAACAGCTGATAAAAACATCACAATAATCCACAAGTAATCCACACCACTCCAGTCCATCAATTAATGTCTTTGGAAGCGAAAAGCTGCATGTTTGTAAGAAACAAATCCATCATTAAGGCGTTTTTACTTCAAACTGTTAATTTTGGCCAAAATACATGTCCATAATCCATAATAACGCTCCCTAGAAAAGTCCATCTCCTGCTATCCTCTCATATCAAAATCCACCAACATATTTGTTCAGAAATGTTTTGGTTTTGGCTTATAAACTGTGCTTCATCTGTGCATATTTCTCTTTCTGATTCAGACGAGGCAACTTTTTCCACTGGAGAAAGTAATATTGACTCGGTTGATCATGGATTTGTTACATACAAACATGTAACTTTTTGCTTCACAAGATTAACTGATGGACTGAAGTTGTGTGGATTACTTATTCCTTCAAGTGATAAAATTAAGTGTTTGTTTTTGGTTAGTGGATCATTTTGATCATGATTAATGCAATTCTCTACACCAGTGATTCATCTCATTGGACATCTGTGTAATATGTGTGAACATACATCCACTGAAAATCATCAAAACACCAGCTGAACACACTGACACTTCCAACACGATGAAGAAAATGTTGTCGTTAATGAAGAGAAAAGATCCTGCAGCATTTGACACATGCAGATCCAGATACTTGATTTACTATCAAGTTATAATGAAACAACATTAATACATATTTAAATGTCCAAATATTTTTGGGATCACATCAGGTTTTGCCGCTCACCAGCTAAAAATGTTTGTTCTGTAATGACAGTAATGTTTTGATATCAAACAGGAGAGCAGTCAGTGACCTGAAAGACTAATGTCCTATTCAAGGACAAATACATTTTCTAGGAACATTGCTTTAGCCAGAACCAAAGATAATTGCAGTGGTTCTGTAAATATCACAGTCATTACAATGATAAACTCCCCTTTGAAAAACTGGCATATCTTGGCAGAATTTTCTGAATAAACTAGATCAGAAAATGTCATTCATTCGTTCTCTTTCCAAGATAATTAGGACTGAGTGATGTTGTGTTTGGAGTCTGATGGATTCTGGCAAATACTCCATCTCCTGCTGATGCCCTTGAGTCAGACGTTGCAGTGGTTGTTCAAGCATGACAACCTTTTCACCTGAAAGGCCCCTGTAGACCGTGAGCTCCTGTTTTAAACAAACCTTCTCTGCTCTTTCTCTCCTTCTCTACAGAATGACTACAGGAAGCTATCTATGCAGTGTAAAGACTTTGTGGTTGGCGTTTTGGATCTGTGCAGGGACACGGAGGAGGTGGAGGCCATCTTGAACGGAGATATATCCGCCGAGCTCAAAGAAGGCCAGCATCATCGCTCCCTGCTCAGTCGAGTCAAACTGGCCATTAAATACGAGGTTAAGAAGGCAAGTGTCCATCTAATGATGCCAGTGCAGGGATTACACTGCACTTTTAAAGATGTTTAGATGTTTTGTTTTGTTTTTGTTTTTTTTACAGGAAAACAAGAAAATTTGGATTATTAATTTATGTTGTATTTACACTACTAGTCAAAAGTTTGGAATAATTAAGTTATTTTTATGTTTTTGAAAGAAGCCTCACCAAGGCATTTATTTGATCAAAAATGCAGTAATACTTTGAAATATTATTAGAATTTAAAATAACTTTTTTAATTGGAAAAAAACAAAATTAAAGGGATAGTTCATCCAAAAATGAAAATTACCCCATGATTTACTCACCCTCAAGCCACCCTTGGTGTATATGACTTTCTTCTTTCAGATGAATACAATCGGAGTTATATAAAAAAATGTCCTTTCCCTTCCAAGCTTTATAATGGCAGTGAATGGGTGGTAATATTCAATAGTCCAATAGAAGTACAATAAACTGCATCCATCCATCATAAAAAGTGTCCCTCACGGCTCCGGGAGGTTCATAAAGGCCTTCTGAAGCGAATCGATGCATTTGTGTAAGAAAAGTATTTGTAATGTAAAGATAAACCATAATAAGATTAACCACTACGCGTGTTCACAAGAGAGTGGCATTCCAGTGGATGACGTATAGGACATATGCGTAGAACCACATCTCGCGAGAACCAAGTTTTGTTTACAGGAGCAAAGGAAAACCAGTCTCATCTTGGCTTATATTGAAATATTAAAACATTTATCTTTACAAATCCTTATTTTGTACTTGTAATTCATGACCGGTGTTTTGTTTTGCTCTCCTCTGCGCTTCCACGTTAGACACTTCTCACCGGAGCTTACGCTATGCCTACGTCCTACATCATCCGCCCGAACGCCACTCTGTAGTGAACACCAGTACGACAGTTGGAAGCTAGCGATTACGGTTTTTACATTTTTAAATATGGATATGAAATGTATGAAAATATGAAAAATAACCCCCATTCACTGCCATTATAAAGCTTGGAAGAGACAGGACATTTTTTAATATAACTCCAATTGTATTCGTCTGAAAGAAGAAAGTCATATACACCCAGGATGGCTTGAGGGTGAGCAAATCATGGGGTAATTTTCATTTTTGGGTGAACTATCCCTTCAATACTTTTATTCAGCCATTAAATTGATCAAAAGCAACAGTAAAGACATCATTAAAATAAATGCTGAATATATACTCTTTCAAATAAATTTGTTCTTTTAAACTTTCTATTCATCAAAAAATCCTGAAAAAGTGTATTCTGATTTACACAAAAATATTACTGTTTTAACATTCATAACTATAAGAAATATTACTAATAATTAAGTACCAATAATAATTAATAATTATTGAGCAGCAATGCTGAAAATTCAGGTTTTCCATCACAGGAATTAATAACAAATATATTCAATATATATTTATATTCAAGTAGAAAATTATTCGAATAGAGATTCTATGTATTATTTAAAATTGTAATTATATTTCACATTATTCCTGTTTTTGTTCTTTTAAATCAAATAATTGCAGCCTTGGTGAGCAAAAGAGACTTCTTTCAAAAACATGAAATCTTAATTATTCCAAACCTGTAGTGTTTTTGTTGTTGTTATTTTTTTGTTTATTTTGCTGCAGTATTCATAGCTCATCAGTGCACAAAAAGGATGTTTTAGATTATTTATTTTACAGGGACACAAGAAAACAATACTGATTATCAATATGATTTCTGACAGAAATTGGCGTGAGTAATTTATGGCGTAGCAGAATGTGTATTCAAAGCAAAAAGTGACGTGACATGTGGCCAAGTATGGTGACCCATACTTGGAATTAGTGCTCTGCATTTATCCCATCCAAAGTGCACACACACAGCAGTGAACACACACACACACACCGTGAACACACGCCCGGAGCAGTGGGCAGCCATTTATGCTGCGGCGCCCGGGGAGCAGTTGGGGGTTCAGTGCCTTGCTCAAGGGCACCTCAGTCCTAGTATTGAAGGTGGGAGAGAGCGCTGTACATTCACTCCCCCCACCTACAATTCCTGCCGGACCTGAGACTCAAACCCGCAACCTTTGGGTTACGAGTCCGACTCTCTAACAATTAGGCCACGACTTTCCCCCCAAATGTAATGATATAAATGGATGAATCTCATGCTTTTCATACTAACAACACAGCTGACCACAGTATGCATCGCTGGAGTTATAGCTGGAGCTGTAGTTATAAAATGACCTTGTCATTAGTGTTTATGAAAAGCTTATCTGCTAAAACATTATTTAGGATTGCCGAGGATTGGCATTTGTTAAAGCTGCTTTGATTTACGTTGACAGATTTTTGGGTGAAGGATGCCTTGGATTTTCACTGGGAATGGAATGACAAGAAGCAGAGAGTAGTAGATAAAGAGGACCACAATTAATCACATGTATTTATTGTGAAAGTGTGAATAATCCTCTATGCCAATTTAGCTTAGTTTAATCACCAGACACACATGTTGTCCACTTCTCTCAAACACACAAACACACTGTCAGGGATGCAATCCGACGCAGCGTTAATCAGGCTAACAGCTCCAGCGTCACGCAGCCACCCTGACATAAAGTGTAATTTAAAGATGAGATTTCAAGAGCCCTAAACGCTCCCAGGAGGACGTGGAGTGTGAGGTTCTGGGTTGCGTTAGGAAATGAGTTTAGAGTCAACCGTCCACATTACGATGATTAATTCAATGGCCGCTGTGTGCTTTTTCATGCCTGAGAAGTGCAGCCTGTTAGATTAAAAGTCATGCAGTGGGCGATGTGAATGGCTCTGCTGGCTGGTTGTATTGTCACTTCAAACAAGAATGCGTATTGCAGTCATTACATTCTTCAAAGCAAACCACAGTAGGCCTGTTGCAGTTTTTACATAAGGGCCTGATTGTTATTATGTGCAATAACTACGAGCATTTTGCACATTGCACATTTTGCTCATTTGCTAATTTCAATGGCGTGAACCAAAAAGTTTCCAAAAAAACAAAAAATTTCAATATTTATTATATTTGTTTACAAAGCCCTAAAGAAATCATGCAATTTATTAGCTTCAAATAAATTTGAAACAGTTTATTTTTATATTATTTTTGAGATATTTTTTGAGTTATTGAAATATTCAATAGTAGCAATAAAATACTACTTAAAACTGAACTGATTTGAAACAATGAAAAACATTTTTATGAAAAATATAAAGTTGCATAAATGTTAGGACACAACATTCTCTAAGTAATGTTTATGGAATGTTCTTATAACTTTATTAACATTGTATATACATTCTCATAATGTTGAGAGAAAATGTTCAAAAACTACGTTCGAAAACGTCAGAACTACACAGTCACCGCCTTCAGTCACCACCCCGAGCACTGCCCACAGTCCCACTCTCCTTTTGCCAAACCCCCAGACAACATCGCGTCCATGCCATTGCTGAGCAACAACAACACGGAAACATGTCGAAAAGGTTAACTTTAACCACGAAACCAGATCAGCCGACCTGTAAAGTTACACTCTCACTCAAAGGATGGACGATCTGACAGGATTGTAACTATGAGGTGGATCACATCTAACGTGTATAGTAAATGTTAAATTGCCCAACTTTACAGCAGAAAAAAACATGTTTACAGCCTGGTTCAAAAAATGATTTTGGTCTATATAACTAATTTTGCTTCATGACAACTGTGAGGGGGGTGAATTTTTTTATAACTCATCCGTTTAAATTATATTAAGCCTTAAAGTTCTGCATAATTAAGGGCGCGGCCACTTGAGTGACAGGCGGATTGCCACTGCTGTCACCACCGTCAAGCTAGGTGGGCGTGGTTTCAGCAACCAGTTCCCGCCTCTTTGCCCATTTTCGATTATCCGGGAGTGACGTGCGATGATGCGCTGCCAAGATGGCGACGGCCGGCTTCGCCTACTTTGGGCTTCAAAAACGCTCTTCGGAAACCTACGGGTGGCGTCACGGACACTACGTCCATGTTTTTACACAGTTTATGTTTCATACACGACATAGTCGTGAGATGGAAGAAACATAGACATATGGCAAGAAATCTGTAGA